GGTTTTCGCACTTTGCGTTAACGCTTATACGCTTTTTACTAGTGGAACCGTCGTGCACTTCGGACGGAACCAAAGTGAATCCAGCGGTTCTGCAGTGATTGACACATTTCATATGGTACCGGTCTTGGCAATTTGTACAAGTCAACCCTAATTTTACTACATTGGCGCCAGTTTGATTACCACAAAATACTTAGTTTCCGTTTACATGCTGGCCGATTACCGTAGAAAAAATCCAAGTTGGCGGACACGGACAGCAGTTAGGCCAATTACTGAGAACTCCGAAATTAGCTAGGGAACATCTATCAAATTTGCACAGATTGAAAAATATGTCAAAAGAAAGCTATTGGTGTAAAATTCACACAGAAATAACAGCTATAACAGCATTCTGGAAGAAAAAGTGGAATTCAACACGGTAATCCAAAATTCCGCGGCATCCGTGGGTACATCCAAAAAACAAATGAAAGGCGAGTTTTGCCCGCCAAAAATATTGCACTCCACCATACCTTTCGACCGTATTTCATCGCCTCCGGTATAGGTAGCAGGTCTCAAACTCAGGAACATTGGGATGTTAGTTGAGACTTATAGCCCATTAGTCACCGAGACACGACGCGCAACGCTTAACACAACGAATAATGACTAGTTGGATGATCATTTTGAAGTTCACGTTGTGTGATTGGATTGCGATACTCAATCTCAATGTTGACCGCGATTCCCATTGTACTGAACCTTGCTCAGTTCGAGCACTAGGATCTAAGCTGAAGCAAAAGAAAATTTGGTGTTGCCCGCCTAAAAACACTGCACACTACGACCCTTTTCGACCTTATTTTATGTCATTGGTAAGAGGTAGCTGACAAGGGAACAATGGTATGATACGGATAAAACAGCCAAGACTTGGCAAGTCCCGTGGGATGGTTTGTGTGAATAAGGTTAGTTCAATGAAGTTACCCAAAAGAGAGAAACGCATCTGTTAATTCATCATGTTATCCACATTAACACATATGAATATCCGTCTAATCCGATTTCGTGGGATTGGTGAGCACAATGTTTGTTCGCGTCTTGCCGTCACTCATTGAATAGAAATCAGATCAAGTAATGTAAATAGTGTAAAGCATCGACGAGTCGTTTTTGAAAATGGCTAGCTTGGGCGCGGAAATGACAAAAGTCAAAGTGCGTTCCACGGTTAACAAACACTCAAGCCGACTGTATTAGACGCCAGTATCAATTTATGATCCCTCAATTTTGTGTTGCTGCTAAGCTTCCGGAGGCAGCGGCAAGCGTGACCGGGGTTTTTCAACATCTGGAACGTCAGGGTGCAGTCACCCCGTGGACGGCGATATCTTCCGCTGTAAACTCCCAGGGCTTTCAGTCGCCCATGGTATTGCGGGTGGGACAAAAGCTTCACGTTTTTCGTTGCCCTTCGCTGTGCGGTCTCCAGTGCAACCAGGTCATGTTTAAACCATAATTGTCAAGCCTCAATGACTTACCCCACATGGGGCCTCATATGCTCATTGAGTATTTGGGGGAAGATGTAGGGATCGAACCTCACGAACGCCCTCCGTAAGAGACCAACACGTTGGTTCTCGGTTTTGGAAACCTTCAAGGACTGCGCCGAAAAGCACAGGTCGCCTTGGAATGCCACCCTAAGGCCTCGCATTTGTGAGGCGGTTTTCAGAATGTCGTATCCAAGTTTAGCTGCGTACGTGGCCTTGTGGCCAACATGCAGGGTTTTGCACTTGTCCGTGTTAAACGGAAGTAGATTTACCTTTGACCAATCAAAAGTGCAGTCTAAGTCTGGTTGCAGCATTTCATGATTTTCCTGACAGTCGATTGCCCGCTATATCTTGATGTCATCGGCAAAAAGCAGGACATTTGATTTGATGACACCCGCAAGGTTGTTTATGAAGAACAAGAATAGCCGCGGCCCCAACACCGACACTTGTGGAACACCGAAGTCCACGTCAGTGGTAGCAGAAAATGAACCTCGAACTCCAACCTGAAGGCGCCGCTGAAACAGGAAGTGTCCGATCCATCCAGCGACAGGATTTCCAACTCCGTGTGCTTGTAGCTTTTGGAGAAGGATGAGGTGCTCTATGCCGTCGCATGATCTGGAAAAGTCTATATGGATGACACGCATGCCGCCTCCACTCTTGGCTATCTCGGTCCAACTGCCACGGGCAAGCAGTACGGATGCTGACGGAATCCGTGTTGCTTCGATGCTATGATGTCCGATCTTTCGAAGTAGCCCATAACAGTCCCAGCTGTAATCGATTCAATCCCTTTGAGAACACGGAGAAACGAATCACTGAGTGATAGTTGGCTGGTTCTGAACGGCTACCACTTTTGAAAATCGGTGTAATGATGGCTTGATTCCACATTCTAGGTAGCTGCTGTTATACGAAGCATCTTTAGAAAATTTTCGTTACTGTTTCAGTCATCCCCCGTGGATGGCACCTGCACCGCTTTCGGAGGAATCTTGTCAATTGCAGGGGAACTATGGGGTGCGCAACGACAGCAGCTTCCTCAAAATAATCACTGAACTAAACGTAATGTGTGTAAATACTGTCGTCTGGGAGAATGGGACAGGTATGTTACAAATGCTTGGAGCGCGTCGGAAAGCTGGAGCATATCGGAGCCGTAGAACGTTGACTTCTTCCACGGCGGTTAGAACACATCCATCCGCTAATAGTAGTGGGGGAACACCACATTTCACATTCCGGAGGCTGTTCACATGTCTTTACAAAAGCTATTTGTTGATAGATATCCTTTCCGCTGGACTCTGCTGGTATGCTAATTTGTCCTCACGCACAAGTGTGGTACACTGATTACCATACACCACGTAGTTACTCCAGTTGTCAGAGCTAGGGTTCGCTCTATAGACATGCCACGCGGCGTATCTTACTATCAAGAGCATTTGGGTTCTGCTCCGAATAAATGATTGTGCCCTAGCAGCATGAGGGAGCTTGTTGACCGATGCAAATTTATCAGATCACTGAAGTTGCCAGTAAAATCTAATAAATCAATGAACACCGCACCGTTCAAATCGTAGAAGGGACCTCTGTACCTTTGGTTACTAGGTCGTGATGGGCAAAGTTAGGCACAAAGGGTAAAATTTCCAGCTAACATCTCAACGGTTTCCGGGTTCGATGCCTGCTATCTCTATCTGATGATGTCAACTCAGGTCAATACGCATCGTGGAGCGAAGTGTTTTCGGGGCGAGCAACACCCAATTGCCATCTGCTTCAGCTACGGTCCTAGTGATTGAATAACTGTTTCACCTCAATGCAAAACACGGCCCACACAACGAGCATTTCAAAATGACCCTCCACGCAGGATGCGAGCATTGATCAAGCATATTAGTTGATGACAAATTGGAACCAAGAGGACAGTCATCCTTGCACGATTTTCTGTGCACTTTGCCTCACGTACCGTCCGAAGCTGCTTCTTGTTTCATTTACTCTTCGATTCCAGCTGTAGTGAAGACCACAGCAACCCAACGACAAGACAAGACACATGATGGCTGCACCTGTCGCTCATCATTCTTATGGTGGTGTGTTTCGAGTTGTATCAATCCACCTATACAAATGTTGTTTGAATTCCGTGTGAAGGGCAATGTATCGTTATTTGCATACGTTTTAATGGGCTGAAGCTGCATAGGCTTCCTTGTAGTGTACAAAGTATACCAATGGCAAGAACGCAGTGTAGTACATCAGCTGACCTTCCATTTGCCCTACTGCACCTTAGTCATTGAATTCTGGGCTCACCAGCTCTAACAGACAGCTGATCAGTTCGTCTTTCATGTGCTAATTTACTAAAGCACATCCCGAGAATCGGCAATGGTGGAAAATGAGCCAGCCCTGAGATCAATTATAGCCAGCATTCATGACTGATGGAAATGTACGAATTGCTACTGCCAAAAAAATTATAAATAACTGCGAGGCACTATAGATTGTTTTATATGTATCAGTTACCGGTATGGACAAAACAACGAAACGGAAAGCGCGGTTGTCGGCATTTAACACAAGCAATCCCATTCCCTGCAGTTAAGCGTCGTGGTAGGTATTTAGATTGTAGCACTTACCTTTCCAACCACGACTTCATTGTCAACATGACCACGGACCACATAAAGCGGGCTTCCGTCAGTATCAGTGCCTGCTACAAGCGCGTTCTTGGGGACTTCTCCTGATCTGTACTTCTCCCACTGAAAACTGAAAAGATACACAAATGTGGTGTACACGATGGTTGTGAGAACACTCGAACAGACACATGCAAAGAAGTGAAAAACTTAATCGCTGTCGTCAAATTTATAAAGGTAAATCAAAATCCAACAACCGATGGGAAGAATGGATTTCAAAACCGCTCTGAGTGAACATCAAAGATGCAAAGCAAACGGTACGTTGGTGAGTTGTGTGAGTCACTGTAGTCTCTAACGAGCTAGAATTCCGAGATTCGTAATTACAACCACCTATAAACCCCTTGAAGATGCCGTATTCTTGTTAATTTCAGGAAACTGGGTTGTGCATTGGATGGTAGTGGTAGGTTGGACACTTGTTAACGCACGAATGTTTGACTTATTATCAACAGTATACTAACTACATGTGGGGGTCTGTTGACAGAAGTTTGAATACAATCACATCAAATTGTCACCAAGTCGATGGAGAAATTTATGGCTTGTAGCGGGAATGTGCGTGACATCGAAGTAAATTTGTGAACGCTAGGTGTGCGCTCATGAAGGTGGTTGACACCAAAGCAAGTTAGAACTTAACGCATTAGCAAAGGATTTAATACTTTGGTTGGTTTACCAGACTCCAACGGAGCAGAATTTTTACTTACCTTGATTACTGGAATTCATCTGGGTGCATGTGTGCCATTCACAGTATCATACGGAACTGTTGGAAATGTCTTAAAACCAAATCAACCGACGACTCTCGCGAGTGTTGAGATTATACTGGTAGATGTGTATCACACATGCTAGCACCTTTGATGTATATACATGAATCGCCTGGCTCGAGAATGCCCTCACTCAGTGACATTTTTCCTTTGGACAAATCAATTGATTATCTGTTCTTGTAGGAAGCTGGTCACAATCACAACCAGTTAGGTAGATCCAGCAACTCTGAAAATGCCGTGTACGTCCCTTTTATTCTTATGCGAATCGTCAGCAATACACGTGATACATTTTCCTTCTCTTAACTGCGGACCCAGAAGAGTCAGATCGCGGATTATAACCCTGTCTGAGACAGATGAAATGCGGATTGCTGACCATTCTTGAAAGAAAGGAACGGCCGTCCACTGCTTTACTCTCTGTGGTCGTGAAGATAACGTCAGTGTCAGATAAGCACTTGTGGTCCAAGTTTAACACACATCCAACATGATCAAGACTATACTAACGCCATCAGAGTATGCACTACATGTGACTGGTGCAGGTTAGTCCATATCTAGGGTGTTCCAAATGATGGATGATCAGATGGAGAGACCCATTGCTTTTACGTCTAGGAGCTTAGCACCGACAAAGAAAACTACGCACTACTGGATAAGGAGACGTTGTCGATTATATTCGGTGTTAAGGAATTACCCCAGTATATTTGGAGAAATTTCAAATTTCTTAGGGATACTAGACCCTTATTAACCTTGATTGTTGAAAGTAACGACATCAACCAGATGTCATCGCCCCCACATGCAACGTTGGGCCTTAGTGTTAACCGCTTACAATAACATTATCTCTTATGTCCCTGGAAAAGCAAACGGTATTGCGGATGTCTTGAGCCGATTGACGTTTAATCTTCTGCCAGACTGTGTATTGAAACTAAATGAATTAGGCCATCGAATGCAGTACTTGATTAGGAAGTCGATGTTGAAAGTCGATATCCGCTGTGAGACAGAGCGTTATATATTCTTCAGCAAAGTTAAACGTTCGGTCTTCCAAGGACCACCTGATAAATTTGACTCCGGATTGTTGCCTTACTTCAACCGGCTTGCAGAACTAAGTCTCGAAGAAGACTGCCTCTTATGGGAGTCCCGAGCTATTATTCCGCCATGGTTAGGACACTATGTGCTGGAGGAAGTGCACTAAGCTCACTCAAGTATGACCAGAAGGAAAGGGCTTTCGCGGTCTAGGAGGCCCGGTAATGATAACGACATATGAAGATTAATTAGACACTGTGAATTATGTCAACTTACACAAAGAAACGCCCCACTAGTGCTACGGAGTCGATGGAAATGAACCGACAAGATGTGGGTGTGCACACATAAAGACTACTTTTGTACGCATGATGAAAAGATCTTTTTTCACATAGTCTATAGATTGAGGTATTTCTGCTTACACGCGCCACTTCTGAGACAACTTTTCCTGCATACGAACATATCTTACTATCTGGGAAAAAGTAAGAATTGCCTTGGAAATTCCCTAGTTTAGCGATTAATCAATTATTAACGATTATCGTATCGATTTCGAACGTTCCGTAATGTTCTTCTTCTGCGCGTGATTAAAAGCCACCTGACACCTCTGCAAAAGATTTGGGGAACCACTAACCTTGGCAGCGGACCTTCCAATTCTAGAAGTCGAAGGTCAGTAGAGACCTATAAATACAGCCAATATCCGCAGTCGTTGTGCAGTGTTCATTGGCGGCGATTAATACGTTATTTTGTCAAGGTCATCGGCGTTTTGCTTTTTTCCTTCGGTTGGGCTAGAAGTTTTGTGGAGCAGTGAATTGTTATTTTTGGAGTTGCGTCTAGTGAACAGATTATAACATTTACCACATTCGGTACTCTGCAAACACTAGTGACAGATAACGCCCTTGTATTCACTGGCCAACAGTCCCAAGAGTTCGTTCAAAATAACGGCATCAGACATGTGAAGACCACCTCTTAGCACCCAGCTTCAAATGGACTAGCGGAAAGAACAGTCCAGGCAGTAAAACATGGGTGACACTAACAACCACCCGCTCCATTCCGGAGGAAGTTGGACAAATTTCTATTCGATTACCGCTCCGCCCTAAGTGTAACGACAGGCAAGAGTGCAGGCCAACTGATGTTCGTCCGAAGGCTTAGGACGTGCCTAAACCTACTCTTTTCCGGCCAGAGATTACGCGTCGAGATGCGGCAAGAGAAATCAAAAGTGGGGTATGATCGAAGGATATCAGATTGATAACTACGTGAGGACGACACACTTTATGTCAAACTGCCCCAAGAACCGACTTGGCGACCCGCAGTTACTCAAAATTGAAGCCTAGCAAGCGGAGGTTGCACTACCGGACGGCAAGGTGGTGTCTTGTCATATGGATTAGGTCCGCCGTCATTTCGTTTCAACCGGGCCAGACAACACACTGCAAAGTCGGTTAACGGAGACGGTAGTCGCAGAGGTCACACAGACCACAAACCAGCCAGGAGCTCAACAAATACACCATTCGAGTGGAGTCCTCCATCCAGTTGATCGTCACCAGACTGGCTGGGGAAGTGCCAACTAAAGGGAAGAGGAATGTGTTCGAACCAGCGGCGACCGTGTGCGTCTGTCTCTCTCTTGATTACTCACTCGCAGGTGGCTTGGCTTCAGTTGCTTGATCGATTCTCTGTACCCGTTTTTGCCAGTATACACATTCGCGGGCTGCCAGCTAGTCATGACATATTGTCTTTGTGTCGCGTTGTCACTAGTCATTATTGCGTTCGCAGGCTAGTGTTAGTTCCGCACATGTGGATTTTAACAAAGGGTCCACACCCACCAAGTTTACTTCGAATGGTCTTCGTTCGGTGGTGAAGTTGGGACGGAAAACTGGTAGGAGTTATCTGTCCCCCTTTCGCCTTGGAGAGCGGAACAAAATTGACTGGAGTAACAGTGGTAAAAGTTGTGACACTACAGACCTGCCGCTGATTCCGGAAGGAGATTTATTTAACTACGCGAGACGAAAGGAACGGCCAGGGTTGACACAGTGACGAGCAGACGACTAACATGTCACATTGAGTGGCGATGAAGCTTACACAATAGTTATTGGCGATTTTTGGCTAGAGTAGTCAGTGAGCTTCAGCAACTGGCGATATGGACAACACAGACCCCCAAAGCGATGGTGTACATTTATTAGTCCATCCATTTTGTGAAGTAGTATCTATACAACGGAGAACGAAATACGTTAGAGACTGATGATTTGAGCACTGTTGATTCCCGAAAGGAAGAAGTGACAGTACAGTGTTTCCCAGAATGTACAGTGGACGTCTGGTTCAGTGCGGTTGTGGAGAATCCCCATCGGAAATGCAATCAAAATCACACCTTTCACTAGACCTTTATGATGGGACACAGCAAAACCGAATCACCGTAACGACTAGTGTTTTTTCGAACTAGCAAGCACCATACCTTCGTGCTAGGCAATCACTTGAATTTGTACACCTACCTAAAACATTCATTTAGAGGGTGACCTCTCCAGCTCTTACTTAGAATTATTCCACCTTGACGCCAAGTTAACTCAACAGAAAATAATACAGACGCATAAAGCTAGTAGACTATTCCGCGGAGGAGACAGCAACAAACGCCTTCGGCTTCAGTGCTGCTGCTCTCATGACCTCAAAAATGTTGATCTATTAAGCAGAACTTGCATGCTATTGGCTGACAAACACCGAGTCAAGACTTCGCACGCTGCGCTCCTTGGCATTTTGCCAGCAGTTGCGTTGGCGACCAAGTCCTGAAGATTTGACGTTTGCTTTTACACCCATGCATTAGGAGAATTGTCACATCATGCTGTGGTGCACGAAGAAATTGCAAAGGCTAGGACTTTGATCAGTTGAGAGGGACTGCCGACACTTATGCTAGCAGAGAAAACCTACACATACTTCGCTTTCAAAGAGGAAAAAATGTGTAAAAATGATTCTCCTCTAAGTTAGAAAATTAGATTTGGACATCCTACAATTCAACATTTTTCAAAATGAACAGAATCCTCTCAAGGTAACCGTAGAGTTGCTGAAATATTTTAGGGTGACAACGTCACGAGCTTCTCGTAACTCAGTTGGATTGGCAACTTTCTCGCTCAACGTCAGCTGAATGTGACAGTCCGCAGCGCCATTCTCGACCCAATTGACACCCAGTGTGGCTCGGGGCCATGTTTATTCCTCACATTCATTAACAAGCTTGGCAGTCTACTGCAGTCGAATTTCTTCCTATTTGCAGGTGATATCAAAATTTGGCCTGATATCAGGATATCGGATGATCACATGGCATTGCAGA